TAGTAACTGATTCCGAAAGTGTATTATCTGCCTTAGTTAATGGAATTTTATCTTATAAAACAAGTCATATACTGTGTAATGTAGTTCAATTAATAGAACAACTGAATAGGAAAGGAATAGAAGTGCAATTTCTTTGGGTTCCCTCACACAGTGGCATAGAAGGTAATGAAATAGCAGATAGCCTCACACATATAGAGCAGGATGAAGATCATACCCACATACTGAACATTCCATTTACAGACTTCTACAGTCACTTTAAAGAAATTTCAAGACAACTTTTGCAATCCTACTGGCAAATTACATTACAGACGAAAGGCAAATGGTATGCAAACATTCAAAAACACCTACCTACAATGCCATGGTATTCCAGAGTGAAGTACTCTAACAGAAAATTCATTACCACTATTACACGTATGCGCTTTGGGCACTGCCTCATGCCAGCACATCTGCACAGAATAAATATTTATAACCACTCAAGATGTCTCCACTGTAATCAAGAAAATGCAGATCTTCAGCACATTATATTCAACTGCCCCAGTTTTCACATTCAACGGCTCATATTCATCAATGACATCAGTGACATCTGTGAGCAAAGTCAAAACAGTTTCCCCCGCCACGTTCAGGAATTACTTAACAATTCAGACTTTTATAAACCACTGTTTAAATTAATAGAAAATACTGTACAGAATATTTAGTTTAAGGGATACATTGTAAATATTTTTGTTTTAAATGATTTGTGTACTGCTTAGATTGTAATAATTTAATAATAATTAGCGTTTATAAAAAAAAATGATTTTTTTTTAAAAAACTAATGTTACTTTCTGTAATTTTATGTATTGCAATTCTTGCTCTTCTTTGAAGAACACATATCTACCTATGTTCTAATTTAAAAATATTTTGTATCCCACAATGTATCCGACTGAAGGACTCTGTATCCAGGTCATGAATAAATAAAAAAAAAATAAAAAAAAGACTGTGTATATATTAAATCGAGTTAGCGAGTTCGGCTGCAATCGTTGAAGTTAAGCAACTTTCGCAGCAGTTGGTCATTGGATAGGTGGCCAGAATTTACTGTTGGATCCCGAGACGCTCCGGAGAACCATGCTAGCGCTGTTCCCCCCCTACCAGGAGATCACGCCTCCCATCACTACTTCGGGGTCACAGAGTGAGGAGGCAGGCGATGAAGTTCCGGAGGTGACTGAAGCGGAGATGACAGCGGCCATTGATAAGCTGCGGGGGAAAAATACAGCCCCGGGACCGGATGGCATCCCCGGCAAAGTCTGGGTGATGACCCTAGACAATGGCCTGGAACCCCGCTTCCGCGCCCTACTTACCGCGTGCCTGACGCAGAGGCGTTTCCCGCAGGGGTGGAAATTGGGAAAGTTGGTGCTTCTCAAGAAGGACGGGCGACCGGCAGACTCGCCATCGGCTTACAGGCCTATAGTACTTTTATGCGAGGCCGGCAAGCTCTTCGAGCGAGTGATGGCAGAACGTATACTCGTTCACATTGGTACAGAAGGGCCGAATCTTAGTGAGAACCAGTTCGGCTTCCGGCGGGGCAGGTCCACCATCGACGCCATTACGCGAGTGAGGGCCCTTGCCGAGGAGGAGGTGTCAAAGGGAAGGGTGTTGTTGGCGGTGTCGCTTGATATCGCGAACGCTTTCAACACTCTCCCGCACGCCTGCATCAACGAGGCGATGAAGCACCACCGAGTACCGTCCTATCTACGGGAAACAGTGATGACGTATCTGGAGGGGCGTACAGTCGTTTTTCCGACCAGAGAGGGATGGGGAGAGCACGTTGTTTCGGCAGGTGTTCCACAGGGCTCTGTACTGGGCCCGCTCCTGTGGAACATCGGATTCGATTGGGTCGTAAGAGGATCGAACCTCCAGGGTGTCAACGTGTTCTGCTACGCAGATGACACCCTGGTGACGGCGCGAGGGAGAGACCTCAGGTCCGCGTCCATCCTCGCGACGGCGGGAGTGGCTCATGTGGTCGGACGCATCAGGCGATTGGGCCTCAGAGTGGCTTTAGAGAAATCAGAGGCAGTGCTATTCTACGGCCGGGGTAGAGCGCCAACGGCGGGGGCGGAATTAGTTGTGAGCGGAGTCTCCATTGGTATCGGGTCGACGATAAAGTATTTAGGAATCGTCCTCGACAGCCGGTGGAGTTTTGAACCCCATTTTGTCCAGCTCGCGCCGAAACTGCGGCGGGTAACGATGGCCTTGAGTAGGCTCATGCCGAACCTTGGTGGCCCGGATGTTGGATGTCGACGTCTCTTTGCTGGCGTCGTTCGTTCGGTAGCGCTGTATGGAGCGCCGATTTGGAGTGGCTGTCTCACCAACCGCAGCAAGGCCCTGCTACGTCAGGCGCAAAGAGTCATGGCGGTGAGGATGGTCAGAGGTTATCGCACGATCGCCTACGAGGCCGCCTGCGTACTTGCCGGTACAGTCCCTTGGGATCTGGAGGCCGAGGTGTACGCAGACGTGTACGTCAAATTGTCGGAGGCCAAGGCGGAGGATCGTGTTCCGATGCTCGAGGAAATCCGAGCCTGGGGGGAAGACGCCAGCGAGACGGCGCTCGACAAGTGGTCGGCCAGATTGGAGGAGCCGACGGCAGGCGTGAGAGTTGTCGAGGCAGTGCGTCCTGTTTTAAGAGAGTGGCTAAGCAGACGGGGTGGTGGGCTTTCCTATCGTATGGTGCAGATACTCAGCGGACACGGCTGTTTCGGGAGGTATCTGCACAACATCGCGAGAAGAGAACCAACCACCATCTGTCACCAGTGCGGTGCGGCCAATGACTCAGCTCAGCACACTCTGGCTGAGTGCCCCGCCTGGAGTGAACAAAGAGCGGTGTTGATGAGGGCAGTTGGGGGCGATTTGTCGCTGCCGTCGGTGGTAAGGGCTATCGTTGGCGACAGGAATGCATGGGACGCCGCAAAGACATTTTGCGAGACTGTGATGGCCCAAAAGGAGACAGAGGAGCGGTCCCGAGAGGTGGACCCCTCAGCCGCCCCGATGAGACGCCGTCGAACTGGGCGCAGAAGGCGCAACTTTGCTGCCACTGTAGCCCCATAGGTGGCCCCGCGGGAGGGAAGAACTAGCCCCGCATTATAAATGGCTTCCCATCGAGTTAGGGCATACTATCCAGGCCAATCTGCCTGCTGATGCCCCCAGAGAGAGACGGACAGATTCCTCAACGAGTCGAGTCCAGAACGTCCCGCGGTTCGTGCCAATGCACACAAGGGGAGTTAGTGCAAAGAGGAGGGTCCGAGAGGGCGCTTTCACGGTTGGGGTCTGGGGCAAAGGCTTGCTGATACCCTTCCCCCATCGTGTGAAGATGGAACCGCAGGAGGTGTTTTTAGTGGGTAGTCGCGGCGCGGCGTGAAGTATGCCCCGTGGAGTCCCACATACCCCCACGGCAGGGCACGGTCGTGGGAAGTGCGTAAATGCATTTTCACCTTCCCCAAAAAAAAAAAAAAAAAAAAAAAGGCCAGAATTTACTATCTCGAGCTCCTCTGTGCTTCGGAAGGTATATCAATACGCATTGGGCCACCTGGTGGATCATGGCCCAGTCTCCCTATTCCATCCATAGGGAAGGCCTGTGCCCCAGCAGTTGGGCCATTAATAGGCTGTGATGATGATTACATATATATAAATTTTCTTCCTTTCAAAAAAATGCTTTTTATAAGGAAGTACTTTAACAAGTATAAAGTTGTTGAATACTACATCAGCTTAATTGTCACCTTCTGCCTTACAACTTCAGTTTAATATTTAGGTATCTGACTTGCAATGACAACTTCACAACAAAGTTTAATTTTAGGTCAATAGGAACATGATAAGCGTATCAAAAAGACCACCGACTAAGTGTGGTCACTATTCCAACGCGTACAAGGTAACTCATTTCTTTTACTTCTATCCGAAAATGGAATGCTCCGGCCGCTCACATGTTCCCTCCCTCCAAGAAGCAACATGCAGGCCGGCAAGGTGAGGATGACTGGTATGGCAGGTAGAACTGGTGTACCAGCTATCTTCACGTTTGGACTTCACTTCACACACTTCTGGAGTCATTTCTTAGACCTATCTATAAAAATTGGATCTTGAATTCCACTTATTGTTTTGCGCAGAAAATGTCCCGCTTTTTTAACTCAAAATTATCCCTAATTTGACACGATATTTATATTTTTATATTTCAAATATAAACTTTATAGTTTTCAAATAGTAAGCAGATTGATGAAAAGGCAGATTTGGGAAATATTTCTACCTGAATCGCTTAGTCAACACGGACAAAAGCTAGTAATTTAATAAAAGACTTAACGGAAATAAAACTTGATTTATTGACTTTTTTATTTTTCTTGGCGTGGCCGCAAGCAAGAAATCTTGCAATCATGTCAAAGCTGGGAATTTTTATAACGTATCGTAAAATCTTATCTTTATATATATAATTCTTCTGTGAGTGTGTATGTCACTGAACTTCTCTTAAACGACTGGACCGATTTTGATGAAATTTTTTGTGTGTGTTCAAGGGGATCTGAGAATGGTTTAGATTCACAATTTTGTCCGCTGGACAACCCCTATTTTTTTAGGGCGGTACGAAGTTCGCTGGGTCAGCTAGTAATATATAAAATTCTCATGTCACAATGTTAGTTACCATACTCCTCCGAAACGGCTGGACCAATTTTATTAAATTTTATATGTATATGCAGTAGGTCTGAGAACCGGCTACTATCTTTTTTCATACTCCTAAATGATAAGGGTTGTCCACCCATAACACTTTTATTTTATTTTTTGGATTATTTTACAATGTGGCATTAAAAAATACATACAACCCTAAATTTTCACCCATATTCTTATGGCGATACGAAGTTCGCTGGGTCAGCTAGTCATAATATAATCAATATCATTATCAATCAATATCATTCGTAAATATGTCATACTTAGTTATTTGTAAAAAAAAACTATTTAGAGAGCTGTAGTAATGTGTTGTTCTGTGGCAGAAGCGAAGCTGTGGTGGCCGTGGATCGCCTGGAAAACGTGACGCACACGGTGTCCCGGATACTGGACGGCTACGACATACGGCTGCGGCCCAACTTCGGTGGTCAGTACACAAAATAATATAAGAAATTGTTCCTTAAGCGTTCATAGATAGGTGCTAGATAGGCTGTACAGATAGATAAGAAGTTATGAAATAAAAGTGAATATTAAAATAATGTACGAACATAATGATGTAAAAATATTACACACATTGTGTTTTACGCCCTAAAAACTACCTTAGCAACCCGAAACTTATAATTTTATGATTGAATCACTTGTTTCAGAAACCTTTGACTTCTAAGTTTATACCTGAATGAGTTCTTAAAGCGATACTCAAGTTTGAGTGCTTGTGATTCACATGTTATTTAACGGCCAAAGAGGAAACTTACTCCGTAACTGTTTTTGGTAGTTTCAAAGGATTTATTAACTTTGCACTCGCTTTGACAAATTTTGTATTAAACTTGAATTCTGCGGCGAAATTTTATTGCGCTGATATGAATTTATTTTCAAACATTAGGTACTTCAACCTGTGTATTTCATGTGCTAAAGTACCTATTAGCTAACAAGAAGATATTCACATAAATATTACTGTCGACAAAGACGTTAAGAGTAGAGAACGCGTTTCGCTGCATGTTATTGCAATCCCTGAACCATGAAGATTCAATATTGTATCCGATTTGCTGGTAGCTTCGTCAGCGGTTTGGTACAAAACTACGTTTCCTTGTTTGCATAAAATGTTTTTGCTTTTCAGGGGACCCGCTCTACGTCGGCATGGATTTAACTATCGCGAGTTTTGATGCGATATCAGAGGTCAATATGGTGCGTTGTTCATTTTTGGTTTATAATAAGCAATTAAAAATAAGTTTGGGTGTGCAAATAAATTATCATTCTATCTATCTACTTACGCGTAGAACGAGGTTTTTATTAATAAAAAGTGTACTCGGTTAATTGAAACACACATTTCTTAGCAAATGATATAAAAACACTACTTGTATTCTCAATGTGTCGCCTTTGTAATAACTTTGGATCGCCTCCACGGAGAACTAAGTTAAAGATGAATGGATTTGACGGCGCATCGAAGGTTTATCAATTCACGTCGAATTTATCTTACGTGGTATAGTAAGTTACCCCTTGGATTTTACGACCCCGCTTTGAGGGGTCGTACCACGTGCCATTAGAGTAATCTTTCTAAATGACGTCATCAGTTGGCATATAAAAAAAGGTTGTTGTTTATACGGTTGCTGGTGTACTAAGAAGCGTACATTTTTTTCACGCACTATAACGGCTCAGCTCAGCATAGTTAATTGTATAAAATTTATTTATGATACACCGCCTACAACAATAAGGAAAATTTCCCGGAGAAAATCACGCCGGAGACGTGGCAGATCAAAGGTTGATGGATAGCTGGCAGTGTGGCCCAAATCTTCGACTTCGACCTTGGCTGTGCTCGAGATCCGCTGAGGATGTTTTCGGGTCATATCAAGGACCTCTCGAGCGCGTCCATCGTAATTCGTTAAGCTTTTAATAGCATCGGAAAGAGAACAAGGGCGTCACTTGACACACATCGAGCGCCGCGCGCCGCCGCCGGTGCCGAGGGGCGGCGTGCTGAATCGCCAATCGATGCACGTCTTTATTCACGCCGCCTCTGCTGGCGACCACGTTGCCGCCCACTTTTCCATTTACCTTTTGGACATTCTCGCTATGTACTGCCCGTGTACATTGAAATATAATATTGTATTGCCGTCACTGAAATGGTAACTTTTAACTGTCGCGTACAAGCTTAAAGTCTAAAGTGACAAATGTATTCATTCTCTTGATTGCATAGTGAAATCTATATGAAATTTTTACATGATTAATTTTTAAACTCATAAAACTCACTAATGAAGTCGGTAGGTAGGGTACAATTTAAAAGTTAGACCTACTTTTACGTGTTTTTTGCTTATGCTCGATCGATAATATAGTAGTTGACAATTAACTACACCAATTAAACAAAAAGTACAGTACCAGCACGCAGCAATATCGAATTTGAAAACTTGAATTCAAATGTCAAGAAGTTTTGTAAAAGTATTTAATTCTCGTTCCGTCTGCTGTTCAAATTTTCATACAAAAATTCTTCACATTTGACGCGTATCGAGATCGGTTTCGAATAGTTTGCGAATGCAAAATATCATTGTCAAATGTGTACTGATTTTTAGTTCTCGTTACATCCGTTATATTGCTGATGTTCAAGATTCCATACAAAATTTCACCCCCACGACAATGGCTAACTAAGCCGATGTCTGAGTCTCAGAGATGCCCATTAGTTGAGCCTCCCCCCTCAGGTTTGAGTGTTCTAGAGGTTCCAGAAAGAGAGGAGACTCCCCCCATGGGGAGATGCCATCCGCCTGGAATACTTCTAGAGGCATTCGTCAATTCTCGGCTTGAGGTCCCCTTAGGATCTCACCGTCCCCAAACGCGGTGACGCTATGAAGGTCATCTGGGACCAACAGCATATAAACTAAAAAAAAAACTAAATTTGAAAAAGACATTTGCAAACTATTTGAATTCTATATTGGTTCGTGCTAAGGGTCCAGTACAGTATAAAAACATCAAGAAAAATAATCGTCTTCTATTTACAATGCCTAAAATTATGATATCCATATTTCAATTTGACTACAAAACGACGAGTATAAAAAGGGAACACAAAATAAGATTAATAGATAATAGAACCAAAAGGCGAAGTCTTTGTGTATGAGTGAAAAAGACGACTTCTTTCAGGATTACACAATAACACTTTATCTGAACCAGTACTGGAAGGACGAGAGGTTGGCCTTTGGCCTCCCGGACGAGGTCCTCACCTTATCTGGCGACTTCGCCGATAAGATTTGGGTCCCGGACACGTTCTTCGCTAACGACAAAAACAGGTAAGTACATACCGTACCTACTGTGCTTTTATCAAAACTTCATTCGTATTGGATATTTGCCGGTAAATAACACCAAACGTCTTTTAGGTCACTGAGTTAGTGCCGAATTTTGCTAATGGTTCGAGTAGGTATACATTTAAACGTTTGTTAGAGGTTTCGAACATTAAGTATTTTGCGTTGTTTGATATCTTTTTTATAATTAAATGTAGTTTTAAAAGGTTTTGGCAGGCAATAATATTCTTCGATACTCTTTAATACCGTAAATTTAGTTTAGGTCGGCTGCTGCTGAGTATGTTAGCGACATTGATAAATTTAACAACTATGTCAATATCACAGATATTGATGACAAAAACAGACCTCAGCTCTTATTTATTTTGATTTAAGATAAATAAGGAGATTAAAAAGATTTTATTCATAGAATTTGGCTGTGTATAATCATTTTAAGACCGCTCTTATAATACAAACTTTTGTATTGCGATTGCGTAGTTTCCTGCACGACGTGACGGAGCGCAATAAGCTGGTGCGGTTGGGCGGCGACGGCAGCATCACGTACGGCATGCGGTTCACGGCCACGCTGGCATGCATGATGGACCTCCACTACTACCCCCTCGACAGCCAGAACTGCACCGTCGAAATTGAAAGCTGTGTGACTCTTATACTTTCGCGCGCTTCGGTCGCTTTGCTTCGAGCGCTAGATACCTACCTACCTACATGGATGCCATACCGCCACATACTGCACCGTATTCTGTTCAACGACAGATTTACTCTCATACTAAACATCACACTAGACATATTTTTCTTAAGTGCTCATACACGACGTATTTTTCTTAAGTGCTCGCAGTCTTTGTTATTAGATTCAAATACGGTAGAGGTTCTCAATTCTTTCCGCGCTGTAGGATATTGTTTTTCATACATTGTTGTTCGGATATTTTGGAGGCAACTTTTTAGGATCGGGTGGTGTCAGTTGTTTTTTTAAATACTTTTAAAAATACTTAACACGGTGTACTGTGGAACAGGCAAACACCTGTTAACGCTATTTAATTTCAAACGATGAATGAGACATATCTTCAAGCAATGTAGAGAGTCATTACCGCGTTTCTATAGAAAAACTAATGAGGAATATGTATTGAATGTTAGACATTTATTTTCAGTAGGTTTCATAAGCTAAATAGGTACTTATTTTATTATGAGATGGAATAAAACTATTCTATGATACAAATGTTAAAATCAAGGTATCCACGTTAATACATAAATAAATAAATACGGGAACCTAATAACACAAGTAAAACTAACAAAGTGTTGAAATTATGGTACTTAAAACATGAGAAAGTTGAGATATTTTATCAAGCTCTGCGGCACTGCACTACAAAATTATTGGTTAATACATACAATTTCGCCTCAAGCCTTGAATAGCTCCAGACACGACATTGCACTCAATGACACTAAGCTCTCCGTTGACATTCATCCGATAAAAACATTCCCTCAGAAGTTGCTTCCCAGTACATTTTAGGTTTAATTTCAACATCTGACAACATTCCTACTTAGAGCAGAGTAAAATCACATTTTAGAAATACCAAAATACGACCAATTTTTAGAATTACTAACTACACACTTTTGTGTCATCACCACCATAACATGCCCGCGGCATGGTTCTTTGTTTCGGCAAACGTTCTCACTTATTTTGCTATATCGGTGTGTTGGTGTGAATATAAAATTATAATTGTATTACACGCTCTTGTTTATTTCACTGTTGACAACTTACAAAATGTACAAAAAGGATTACCACAAATCATAATATCTTGTAATCTACAGACTTATCTAACCAGTACAGTTATGCAAAGTAGACATAAGCGTTTCGCAGTATCACTAATTTTGATATATAATTTAAAATAAATGGAAAAAAATACGAATCTTCAATTAATCATTATTTGCAGTCATCTAATACAGTTGTTGTTTTAATGCTTTTTTCTTACAGTACAGAAAAAGAAGTTTTTTCTAATCAATGTATATAGCAAAATTTAACAAAATAATTGGACAGGTACAAATAAGTCTGCAGGTTACAATCGCGCACCAGTATGCTAACGTATTTATACTTATAGATGGATACACTGTGTCGGACGTCGTGATGTACTGGAAGGAGACGCCAGTGCGGGGCGTGGAGGATGCTGAGCTGCCACAATTCACTATTCTTGGTCACGAAACCAACGATAGGAAGGTAAGCACTTGGCTTCTATTTAGGGCCACTTGCACCAACATTCAGTTCAGAATAAAACTGTATTCCAGTTTAGCATAGCACCTCATTCTTCTCAACTACCTATTTAAAAAGAGATGAAATATACCATCTTAAAATACTAACTAAACTAAAAAGTGTGAAATAAAAAAGGTAAATTTAAAAAATCAAAAAACCCTACCGCTTAATTATACTTCAAATAAAAACTGAAAAGAAAAAAACAAGTCCAGTAGTCTATAATTCTATTAATAAGGAACAAAGCTACTTTAACAGTCGGGACCCATTACATATTCAAGAATACATAATATTTTTCAATAATGAAGCTCGAATGAAGAGTACTTCCACCTATCAATCGTGCTGCTACCAGCCTAGTAGGTATTGCAAGTAGTGCAATCATGGCAATTATTTTCCAAATATTTTTATATAGTATAAAAAAATACCGTATAACGTATCACTGTTAAGCAAAAATGCTAAGTAACTTTAACAAATATAATCAAATAAACCTATTACTTACTTTATTTTTAAATCTTTTTAATCAATTAAATACTATTATCCTAACTATCTATACTATAATATTATAGATGTTAAAGTGAGTTTGTTTGTTGCGCTTCCGTGTTTTTGCAGTGCAGATGGGAGATTTTTTTCCGTTTTATGTGACACTTATTGTTATATTTTGGCCAATTCACTCAGTAACTACATAAATTATTATATATATGTTATTATCATATTATGACCTATATTACTGTTAAGTTTCATTAAAATCTATTCAGTATTTATTAGGTGAAGGAGTAACAAAGATCCATACAAACGTAAGATTGAAATTAAAAACGCAAGTGGTTAATATACAACTTTAAAGCGTTGTAGATCCTAAACAATCATATAAAATGAAAAATGGTGTTAGGAACCTAAACATGATTTTCGATTATCTAGACAGTGATACCCACTCGACATATTTTGTCAACTTATTTTTTTTACTTCGTCACAATTTGGCGCCTGATTTTGCCCATATTGAATTTTGATTACTATCATACCTTTAGTAGCACTCCCATGATTGAGACGAATCGATTGATATATGAATCGTCAAAATCGGTCCAGGCGTTTGGTCTCTAGTGTGCCACAAAGGAACAAACATACATATATAAACTGTTAAACACTATACTCTGTCGGCGCGTCGCGCTTCGCGCTCTTGCATTGCGCAGTCGGGTAAAAAGGGATATGATTTTGTTGTTTTGGTTTTAATTTCATTCTCTCTGGTGTAAGTGCCCCACTCTACAATAAAGAGAAATCGCAAAGCTAGTTAGTAAAAAAAATTGTATGTGTCAGCTCCGACGCACGACTGGAGTTTACTCCTTAAGTTCGATAGTCAAACCAGACGCAAAAAGAGTTTATTTAACTTAAAAAACATTGATACTGTATGAAAGGGTAAATTAACAAATTAATGAAAATAATATACATATATAAATATATTATATTTATTCATTTCATATACATTTATTATAACTAATCGACGAAATATTTTATATTAAACTTTTTACAATGGGGTGTAAGGGGTTCTAAATACACCTGCAAGAACCCAAGCCAACCTCACCTTCACGTTGTGCACCCTGTTGACCAACAGACGAGGCTCTGGCAAACCGACCGATGGCGGTATAACCATCCAACGACGTAGGGGAGGAAAATCTCACTGGTGACGGGCAGCAGCGTCATCAGTAAATAAACCTACGCTCTGTGATCGCCAACCCGCCTGCCCAGCGTGGCGATTATGGGAAACACAAGCCACGGCCCCCAGTTCCCGGCAGCTCCGCTATTCCTGGTCACGGTGGCGACCACGGTAACCAGTTCCCGGCAGCTCCGCTATTCCTGGTCACGGTGGCGACCACGGTAACGGTGGGGCGGGGGGTGCCAAGAATCTCCGGGCTACGGGAGGCCACCACAAAAGACTGACCCTGGCGACGTACAACGGACGCACGCTACGGCTTGACTCGCATCTGGCGCAACTCGAGGTGGAACTTGGAAAGATTAGGTGGCACATTTTAGGGTTAAGTGAAGTCCGAAGAGAGGGGGAGGACACCATAACCCTCGAATCGGGCCACCTAATGTACTTCCGCGGGGGAGACCAACACTATGACTAAAAATGAGATCGATTTCATCATGACGGACAAGAGGTACATATTCAGAGACGTCTCCGTGATCAACAGGTTCAATACCGGTAGTGATCACACACTCGTCCGGGGCTCTCTGAATATGAACTTTAAGGCCGAGCGTGTCCGTTTGATGAAATCCAGGCTCCAACCTACTTTGCTCCAATCTATAACAGGATCTGAAACGTTCCAGTCAAATCTGGAGAATTTTCTGCCGTGGAAACCACATCAGACGGAAACCAAAACCTCGAAAATGTGGTTCGGATTCTCAGGGAAGAGGGTACGAGACTATGTGCAACGCAACGTAAGGGCAGGAAATCAAAGCTTTCGGAAGAGACTTTAGGGCTAATGAAGGAACGACGTGAAAACCCACCCGTCACTTCATCGGCAAAGCGGACTCTAAACCAAGAGATCAGTAAGCACGTACGATACGACCTCCGATGCTCCAATACTCTCTCGATCGAGAGAGCGATCGAGCAGAATCGAGGGTCTAAAGTGTTCGTACAATCTCTTGGAAGAAGCCATCTGACGAAGTTGACCACAGCAAGTGGGAAAGTTGTTGCTTCAAAGCCGGCAGTCCTTTCGGAAGTGGAAGACTTCTACAGCCAGTTATACGCATCACATGCATCTCGACCCGATCCCGGAAATGAGGATTCTAGAGCCACATTAACACGCCACTTCACCGAAGACCTGCCAGAAGTCAGTATTGGCGAAATCGAGATTGCTCTTGGACAGCTTAAAAATGGAAAAGCCCCTGGAGAGGATGGTGTTACAACAGAACTCTTGAAGGCTGGAGGTAAACCCGTACTGAGGGAGCTCCAAAAGCTTTTTAACACTGTCCTGTTCGAAGGGAGAACTCCGGAGGCGTGGAGTAGGAGTGTGGTCGTCTTGTTGTTTAAAAAGGGGGACAAGACCCTACTTAAGAACTATCGACTCATATCCCTTCTAAGCCACGTCTATAAGCTGTTCTCAAGAGTGATCGCGAACTGTTTGCGCGAAGATTTGATGACTTCCAACCACCGGAACAGGCTGGGTTCCGGAGCGGATACGGCACCATAGACCTCATCCACACAGTGCGGCAGATTATACAGAAGACTGAGGAGAACAATCAGCCCCTGTGCCTAGCATTTGTGGACTATGAGAAGGCCTTTGACTCGATTGAAATCTGGTCTGTCCTGGAGTCCCTGCAGCGTTGCCAAGTCGACTGACGATACATCCAAGTGATAAGATATCTCTACGAAGCCGCCACCATGTCTGTCCAAGTACAGAATCAGCAAACAAGTCCCATACCGTTGCATCGTGTAGTGAGACAAGGGGACGTTATTTCCCCGAAATTGTTCACTAATGCAATGGAGGATATGTTCAAGACGCTGAACTGGAAAGGACATGGCATCAACATGAATGGCGAACGCATCTCTCACTTGCGATTTGCAGACGACATCGTCATCATGGCAGAAACCCTACAGGACCTACAACAGATGCTGAATGACCTGGCTGACTCTTCTTTACGCATCGGCCTACGGATGAACTTGGATAAAACCAAGGTCATGTTCAGTGAACATGTTCTACTGGAACCGATTGCAATACACGGTGCCGTTTTCGAAGTTGTTCAAAAATATGTATACCTCGGGCAGACATTGCAGTTAGGTAGAAACAACTTTGAGGACGAGGTGAATAGAAGAGTTCAGCTAGGTTGGGCAGCGTTTGGGAAGCTACGTCAAGTCCTGACATCGTCGATCCCACAGTGCCTAAAGACGAAAGTCTTCAATCAGTGCGTCCTACCTGTGATGACATACGGAGCCGAGACGTGGACACTGACGGCACGGCTGGTCCACAGGTTCAAAGTCGCTCAGCGCGCTATAGAAAGGGCTATGCTCAGCGTTTCTCTGAAAGATCGCATCAGAAATGAGGTAATCCGACAGAGAACCAGAGTTATCGACATAGCCCACCGGATTAGCAAGTTGAAGTGGCAGTGGGCTGGCCATATTTGCCAAAGAACCGATAACCGTTGGGGTAAACGAGTTCTGGAGTGGAGACCGCGTCTAGGCAAACGTAGTGTAGGACGTCCTCGGGCACGATAGAGTGACGATTTGCGCAAGGTGGCTGGCAGGAGCTGGATGCGAGTAGCCCAAGATCGATCTGAGTGGCGTGCATTTGGAGAGGCCTATGTCCAGCAGTGGACTATGATAGGCTGTTGATAACGATGATGATTTTACAATAGTCAATTTCAGATGTGCATAAATATATTATTTTAAGTTATTGTACATCTTAGTGTTTTTATTTGTTTTGTTACCTTAAGTCATGGTGGGCGATAACAGAGTCATGTTGTTAAGTTAAATATTTGTAAGGACAAATCTCAGTTTGTCCTTGGTGGGCGATTATGTATACGCCATTTGTGCATTTAAAATTTTAGAACATATGTATCAAAATAGATGGCGCTGTAGTTCGTTGCATCACGCTTGTAAATATGTTTGGAGCTACATATAGGCAAAACGTCACCTAACTAATAAAGAAATCTATGGTCTAACAAAATACACTGTAGTTTCAATTTAATTCTTTTGCACCTAAGCTCTCGGATTTAAGAGTCATTTTGGCTCAAACAGGATGCGCACCAAAAACGTAACGAGGTCATTCATCGATAGATTTAACTCCTCACATTTTTCTCATACCGGGCCCCTTATACAGGGCGTCCCACGGCTACCTCACACGGAGGGAAAGTATATTAAATATTAAAGATAGGATATTTTACTGAAAGAAGACATCATTTCATTTTTGATAATAACTAGAACTGCATTCACAGATTTTTTAAAATCGACCGCTACAACTGGGAATCAAACTCGTGAAATTTCGAAAAAAAAATACGAGGTATTTTATGATAACCATCGAAAGGGTTTATCATAAAGATTATTTTTTACTAATTAACATAGCATTTTAAATGAAAGGAATGTCTTATTACGTGATAAAAAGAATAAACTGTAGTACGTATGCATTTCATTTTGAACTCAGTTACAATGCGATTGGCTGAAATTTCTAAAAATAATAATTCGAAAATAGAACACATACATTTTCAAGCGTCTGTACCTCTAGCACCATTATCGAATTCGAATAGTTTGCGAGTGTGAAATGTCAATGTCAACTTTTGTATGGAAACTTATACATCAGCACCACAAAGTACGTAACGAGAATTAAAAATCAGTGCACATTTGACAATGACATTTCGCACTCGAAAACTATTCGAATTCGATATTGGTTCGTGCTAAGGGTACTGTTTTTTTTTTTGTGTTTTTCATTTTAGTTAAAAACCGGGTTCTCTTAAAACATTTTTACAAAGGGAACCTAAATACGGAAAGATATCTAGAAATACTTAATATTTTAAGAGGTGAGATCAATAATCTTCCGAAATTTCACTTTCCAGCAAAATGGGACTCATAACAGTAGGAGAACTGCCGAGTTTCTTAATGAACACTTTCCTTTCTGGATCGGTTCTTATGGATAAATAAGATGGCCGGGATACCCAGATCTAACCCCACTGGACTTTTTTGTGGGGTTATGTAACAGATGTAGTATACAAGAACCGGTAAGACGGTGTGCAGGAGTTACAAAATAACTCAGACGTATTCTTACAAATATTCACCACGCGAAGATAGTGAACTCGACAGGCAGAGAAACATTAATAGAGTGAGAATTTGCATTCAACAAATCGGATCACATTTTGAACATTTGATACATTTCGTTTTGGTTTACTTTTTGTTGAATATTTTTAAAAAAATGTGTAATTTTATGACTTTTCTTTCATTTAAAATGCTATGTTATTTAGCAAAAAAATTTTTTTATGATTAACTCTTTCTATGGTTATCATAAAAAATGTAGTGTTTTTTTTTCGAAATTTCAGGAGTTTGATTCCCTGTTTTAGCAGGCGAATTAAAAAAAATCTGTGAATGCAGTTCTAGTTATGATTAAAAAAAAATGATGTCTTCTTTCGGTAAAATATCCTATCTTCAATATTTAATATACTTTCCCTCCGTGTGAGGTACCCGTGGGACGCCCTGTATATGCAAATCGATTCTTAGTAAACTCCAAAAAACTATAAATCCGAAGAACACGTTTACAAAAATCTAAACAAAACGATAAGTAACAATTCCTTTCGAGCATCAGATAGGATTCTGCATTAAAATAATCTAAAAAATTACATAGCGTTATTTTTAATCTCCTATAGCGTTGTCCAGTAATGTTTCTACACAGCTGGGAAATCTGTTGCGCCTCCAATAAAGGTTCCGTAGTCTTTACAAGGAACCCTTACAGTTTCTTCATGTCCGTCCCGGGTTTTGCTTGTAGACTATTAGTAGACTAGCACTAGATAGCTGTAATTTTGTGGAGATATTAATATTGATCACGCCAACAAAATGGTAATTTTTTGTTCGAGTAGGAAAAAAATGTGTGAAAAAAATTCAGGCAGCAGACGGGCTACCTGGTCCGCGTGGATTTTTTTCTAGTAAACTCGAACCCGCACCCTTCGCTATCCGGGCGAAAGCACTGACCATTAAGCTACCGCGGCCCTGACTGTGGTGGCTTTTAAATAAAATATAATATAATAAAATATCTAGCAGTTAAATGCTTAAAAAATAACTTTAACGGTAAAGATAGATCTGTTAGTTTAAGAGAGTTAATAGTCGTTTAACTTTGGTTAAAGAAAATTTCTCACCTATTGAAAATTCCTTAGAAGAAAATATTAATAGCGACATAGATGAAGTTATTGTACGAGTAGCTTAAAACCTTGCATTGCAACAAAATCTAAAAAAAAACTAATAAAAACCATAATCAAATATTAGTTCCACAATGCTACCGCGACTACGCTTCTGAGCCGCGCACGTTACGTTTTTATAAAAAGTATATAAGCACTTGAAAATATCGGCGCTTATACCTTAGCGCATCATCCCCTTCTCAGGGGATCACCGCTTCAGATGAAGCTGTTAGTAAGTAAGAGTCGGACATAACCTTGCAGCTAGAGTTACCATCCGTAAAGATTAGTTCGGACATGTCCGGACTTTTATTTTGTAGTACGTACTTTGTCCGGATCTATAAATTGTCCGGATATTTTTAATTATAATGAATATAAATAATAGAAGAACATATTGATTTCTATACCATTGTAACTATGTGAGTAGTGGTACAATTTTGTGACTCATTTTGTGTCCGGACTTTTTTCAAAATGTCAGGATTTTGGTCAGAACTTTTGAAATTCCTAAATGGTAACCCTTGCAGCCGGCTGTAGGGTATCCATGAGGATTTCACAGGCGCTCTCCCACCTGGGAGGAAACAAAAAAAAAAAGCCGGTTATCATTAGTAAAAAAAAATATATTGAATTGATTTTGAGTTTGAGACGCGGTTTGACTTTTATTTAAGTATTTTAGTTGAGATACACAGATTGATATTAATTGGTTTTTCTAATTTCCGATACAGAAAATAAAGACTACTGCTCAAATATATTGCGGTAACTACAGGCAACTACGTAACCCTACACTGCGCGTGGCACGCACGACACGCACTTGGCCGGTTTTTTCTAAATCGTACAGCTTGTCCGAGTAGATATTCGCGAAAAATTTTGCTCACTCTTGCGACGGGGTTTTTAAGTTTGCCGTCGCGCTCTCAATCGGTTAATAATGTGCAATTATTTTCAAATGAAGAATATCCATTTTGAAAAGGTTTTAATGCTACATGAAAAAAATTATAGGAGAAGCTGGCAACAGGCGTGTATCAACGATTGTCGCTGAGCTTTAAGCTGCGCAGAAACATCGGTTACTTCGTGTTCCAGACGTACCTGCCCAGCATTCTCATCGTGATGCTCTCCTGGGTCTCCTTCTGGATAAACCATGAGGCCACTTCTGCGAGAGTTGCTCTAGGTAAGATTCTTATACATCTATATATATAAAACTCAAAGGTGACAGACTGACATAGTGATCTATCAACGCACAGCCCAAACCACTGGACGGATCGGGCTGAAATTTGGCATGCAGGTAGATGTTATGACTTGGACAGGATTTTGATCAATTCTACCCCCAAGGGGATAAAATAAGGAATAAAAGTTTGTTTGAAACTTTGTCAATTTTAAAGCGATCGGGCTGAGACTTTGCATGCAGGTATAAGAAGAATCATAGATGAATGTCATTGTGTATAAATACAAGCCTGAGAACAAAAACTGTAGTTCTACACTTCAGCTCTACACCGCAGCGAAGCGAGGGCGGGCCGCTAGTAATAATTAAAAACCTAGTTTAGACCTTAATCGAAGTACCCGGGCGGGCATCGCGTAACAACACAAACAGTCTTATTCCAATTAAAAGTACACAGTCACGGTCAGTCACATTAAATTTAGACGTTTTGTTTACTTTAATAACATTCGGATTTAAACTACAATACGTATGGTAATTACACGAGATTTAATTAGTTACTCACGCATGAACGATGTTTTCGAATTTCTCGTGTAACGTCACTCTCTACTATACATTTAATTCACATAATTCTCCAATGTACCTATATGGGCCTCGCAAACATCTGCCACCAGGTGCCACACAAATTTCTATTGCCTCGGATCTTTAAATACCTGTGGCCGCCCATAATTAAAAACCTTAGCTATACAGTGGCACGGAAATCCTTCATGTATGAGTTCGACTCGCACTATTTTTGTACCTTCGAAAACAATTAATTGAAAGAGAATGCACAAAGAGAGAGGTATGGCACAGCGGATTTTCCGGAACCGGCGGAATCTCCTTTCAAAAGACCACAGTAAAATAACACTACCTTTTGGTGGTGTTGTGTTTCTTCTGGTGAGTAGGATTCCTGGGCTCTGCGGGGTAGAGGATTGGATTCAGGTTAGCAAGGTGGGGATGGCTGGAGCGGTACACCTTCTGCCGCATCATTTATCTTCGCGACCGGACTCCACCTATACTTTACATCAGGTAGGGTGGGGTAATTTGTTACGCTTCGTATATTTTTTTTATAGTTATGTCCGAACAAATGACTCCACCCCACCTGATGTTAAGTGACGGTAAAGTCTAGGCGCGAAGATAGCTGGTACAATAGTTCTACTTGCCGCACCAGCCATGATAGTGCGACAAAGAAATGAGTCACCAAATTTCATTGTACGTGTTGGAATAGTGGCCACAGTTAGTCGGTGACAACGTAGACCGGCGCGCGTGGTCCTCTGAAGGAAAGGGAAATGTGGAATAAGGGAAAATAACACCTCAGAATACTCGTCGTGGTAATACGATAGAACGCGCTTAATGACGCCACGTCACGGCGTAATTGAAAAGGTTCGAGGTGTTTAGTCACCTCTTCATCGCCTATGATGCGATTCGCGCGCTGCTGTAAATAATAATATTCCACGCAAGACCGTACCTGCGTCTTATTCAACAAGCACAGTTGCTCGGGCGTGAAAAAACGCCATACCTTGTTCAGGACTCCGAGTTTGCGTTAGGCCGTTTTTACCATGCTTTCGATGTAATTCTTTTCACAACTAATGAATTCTTTGTAATTCTTTTCACAGCTAATTTCCATACGAGCATGGTAATAGTACCCAGGAACAGAACTGGGCCGTCAGACCGTATGCCAGAAGCTTGGAGAGAAGTATTTTGTGCGCCAGACCAGACAGTCGAACGCCGTGGCAATATCAAGGCTTTTCGATAACCTCACCCCAGATATAAGTCAAGTACACTAGACGATCACCCGTCGATCGTTTCGGTCTTAAACGATCATTATCAGGGAGTGATCCTCCGATATAATTTTATATATATGAATACTAGTCTTAAGCTGTCGCGGGCCGGATTGATGGCACTGGCGGGCCAGATTTGGCTCGCGGGCCGTAGTTTGGAGACCCCTGCTCTAGATAGCGGATCAGATGGTTGTTAAGGACCTTTTCTAGGACTTTACATAATACTGAGGTGACTATTGGCCGGTAGTTAGCCGGGTCTGAGCGATCCCGTTTTTTGGGCACTGGTTGCACGTTGTCATCTCTCTCTCCAAGTCTCCAGCACACGCCCCAAAGAATACGAGAGTTGGTACAAGCGCGTGAGCACGGGAGACAACTCTGCGGCACATTTTAAAGTACAACTGCTGGGATGCCATCAGGTCCACTAGCTATCCAGACGTCGATTGATTGCAATTCGGCGCGACTCTCACGTTGCCTGATTTTAATATCAGGCATCGTTGTGCCACAATGGGGTAATGATGGTGGTAGTGCATTGCAATCATCGATTCGGGAGTTAGCCGCAAAGAGTTTTGCCAGTAAATTGGCTGTCTTTTTGCCGCTGCTTCTGAGCTACTGTTCCGTCTGGACATCTCGGAAGTGGCAGCGAGGGTTGCAAGAAATTGTTCTGCATGGCCTTGGCCGAACGCCAATAGCTATGGGAGCCCGTAGGAAGCGTTATAAGTTCGTGACCAATACATGCACCCCACTGGGCATTCGCTGTGATGTATGCCTTCTTACAGCTGCTTTTAATGAATCGATCTCGGGATCCTTAAGAGCACGGCCTCTGGTCCAAGCACGATATGCCGCTTGCATGCGCGACACAATTTAAGCACAGTCGCGATTGAACCAGAGGATACGTGTGCCCTTACTGATGAGATTAAAACAAGGAATATAGTATTCCATTTCTATTACAATCTCCTCAGTAATAGAGAAAGCGCTGGCCGATAGGTCCCTGTCACTGAAGCAGTGCTGCTTCCAAGGGATGGACGCAAAGTAGTCACTCATACCGTCCCAATTTGCCGACCATTAGTGCCAAATCCGGCGTTTGACAACCGCTGGACGCGGAGGTTTGGCCTGTCGCGCTTCGGCAGATATCAGGCAGTAATCCGACTAGCCCACCCTTAGCACAAATTGATAGCCCTGTGGATGTCGTGAGCAAAAGGTCCAGTAAAGAAGGCGTTTGATTTGGAATATCTGGAATCCTGGTGGGTTGATCACCCAGTTGCTTCAAGTCATGCGTGAGAGTGAATGCGTAAGCAGAGATCTCTGCTTGGTTGATTTTGGAGGAACTTAACCACAAACCGTGGTGAGCATTAAAGTTCCCCAAAAACACCAATTTTGCATTGGAAAATTGTTCCTGTTGTCTGAACATCGCCGGTATGGGATCTGTAGAGACACACGTAGACTCTGGCCAGCGGACCCAGAGCCGACGTGGACCACCAGGATGGAGAAGGAGGGATCTTCCAAGCAGCGGAGCCGGCGACAACAAACATTCGCCCGAACATACAGGCATACACCGGCTTTCACTTTGAAGAACTCTTCAAGCATGTAGGCGGGATAGTTAATGTAGCCTGTGTCTGCAGGCGGAAGTATTTGTGTCCAAATACGCATTAAAAGTAAAAGCCCATATTGAATAGATGTTTAAAATAAATAAAATAATAACAGCAACTTTCTCATTCACAGGAATAACAACCGTGCTGACCATGACGACGATCAGTACGGGAGTGCGGAGCAGTCTCCCGCGCATATCGTACGTGAAAGCAATCGACATCTACCTGGTGATGTGCTTCGTGTTCGTGTTCGCGGCGCTGCTGGAGTACGCGGCCGTCAACTACACGTACTGGGGCGCCCGGGCGAGGAAGAGGGCCAAGCTAAAGAACCGCGACCAGATGTCTACTAGCACTAGTGTTGAGAAGGATTTGAAATGCGCCGCCGGTAAATGTACAAGGAAAATAACTTATTGATACTGATATTATAATGACAATCACAAACACAAATAACTACTTTAAATAAGCATTTCACTTTTAATTTAGACAGTCGAGGAAGTGTCATCCAGAAAACGTGTTTCTGTGAAACGTTTTTCCTCCTCCTTAGGAGAGAGGCCTCTCACAGTGGTGACACTAGCGGCCGCTGCTGATTATGAATGTCATCATGAAGTCATCCCAGTGTTCCTATTGCCCTATCGTTATTTTTTGTACGGCGTGGTTAATAAGAAATTATCTGCCACCAACACTCGTATTATGGAAATTGGGAGTTGAATTACTTGGGTTAATGAGATATGTATGACATAGTAATTACCGCAGGGTCCCAGTCGGCGAAGATTATTATGGCGCTTCGCGAATGCGGCCACTGCTGGCAACAGGCGGCACGCCTCGAATGTCCTTACTAGTTAGTCACGTCAAAGAGCCATCGAATATCCTTATTAGTCATTCTCGCAGACACTCGGTCTCGGTCATCTTTCACGTCAACGAGACATCGCATCTGGTAACTATCTTAGGGTCCCGGTCATCGGAGGAGAATATCACGCTGCGCGAGTGTGACACGGGCGCGGGTCAGGTATTGCCGCTTCTGGGGTTACGCTCACTGCCGCTGCCGGCGACCGGTAGCCCCGAACGGCTTTACGAGTTACTTGCATCAACGAAGAATCGAAACTGGTTACTAACTCAGTGTCCCGGTCGGTGGAGGAGATTATCGCACTGCACGTGTGCGACGCGGGCGCGGGGCGGTCACCGCTTCTACGAATGTCCTTACTAGTAACTTGCGTCAACGAGGCATCGAAACTAGTTACTATCGCAGGGTCCCGGTCGGCGGAGGAGATCATCGCTTTACGCGAGTGCGGGGCAGGCGTGGGTCGTGTGTCACCACTACTGGGGCTGCGCTCACGGCCGCTGCCGGCAACGGGCGGCGCGCCCCCATCGCTGCGGCTACAGCGTGACCACGCTACGCTACGGTACCGCACGCGTCCGCACTCAAGGAATTCCAGAAGTAAACAATCGATTCCTCTTATCATCAGACTTCCAGAACTAAACAATCATTTCCTCTTATCGTTAGGCAAACAGAAGCCAACAATCTCTTATTACCTGATTTCCGGGAAGCAAATAATCAATTCATCTTATGACCAGACTTCTAGAAGTCAGCAATCAATGCTTTTTATCACCAGACTTCTAGAAGTAAATAGTCAATTCTTTTTATCATCCGATGATACTTTTCAGCGCTCCAATGGTCCTGGGTTCGAATCCCGGTAAAAGATTTTAATTGAACGATGAGCACAAACATTGTATTTTAGTCGAACACTTTGTTTATCATACAATAGCTTGCAAAAGACGAAATTGAAAAACTGATTCACACAAGTGAAAAGAGGCTGTCAGAATAATATACTAAACTTCGATTCGTTTACTATTCTAGATAATTCCAATGCGAAGCCCAAGATGATGCACGCGCTTAGAAAAGGTGCGACGGTCATCAAGGCGTCAATGCCCAAGATTCGCGACGTCAACGTTATTGACACGTACTCACGTGTTATCTTCCCTGTCAGCTTCCTAGTCTTCAATGCCATCTACTGGGTCTTCTATATATTCGACTGAACCACAATTAGAAAGTAAATTGCGAGTGAAGCCTATAGGCAATAAATGCACGAATACGTACCTACGTAAAATAGCAATCAAGTTCCAATTGCATTGCTATTTTCCCTATCGGTTTTCCAGCTACTGCTAGCTAGAACCTAGTAGATAGTGTTGTCGGTATCTACTAGGTTTCGTACTTCGAAACGGAACCACAAATTACTGCGAACGATAATGTTGAGGGAAAACTATTTAAACTTTCATTGATAGGATAATAGCTTAAAACTTCATCTATTAGGTCTTCTCTTTCATCTACTTAATCAAAGGACAATGGGCAAAATGCACCCAGCTCCGCCACCAATGTAATTAGTATGAATCGATAGATCTATGAAAAACTAGCCTTTTTTATTATCACACTGAAAATAAATATCCTGGGAGCCAAAAGATATGACACCGTAAAAAATATACTGGTAGTCAATAGATATGACACATGGGCATATTTAAGTAGCTGAATAAATTCATTTTATAGTACCTTCATTTTATATTATAAGTAATCATAATAATATGCCATATACCACATATACGACAAAGCCTGCCGACCATCCTGCGCTTGCTGTTATTGAGACATTTCAAAACGGTTTACGGATGATGAAGGACTTGCAGAAGCAAATAGTCGACTTGTCTTACTTCGTTGTGATTGTGCGCTCCCTGCTACTTGATTGATTTTTATCCAACACGCTTTGGATATTGGAACAAGATTATCGGTATTGTCAATTAGTATAGATGAACTGGAATCATGTGTTCTCCGAAGCGTGGACAAGTTTGTGTAATCTGTGGTGGCTCCGTTTTACATAGAAGACAATTTACTATAACGAACAGAATGCTTAAAAAATCCCAACCTAAGAGGGGAGTTTTGGATTTTACTCTAGCGCGGTTGAATAACATAAGGGGGCACCCTTGCACCTTGTGAAGTACTCCCATAATTCCTGAGCACCCTATGTAGGGTCGAACTAAGTAACTAAATTAATTCCCTTGTTTCATTAATGTTCGTTCGTTATAGTACTTGTACATATTTAACTTAAAATAACTAAAGACCCCCGGGATGGAATTTGATGCACTTTGGCACAGATGATCTCGACTATAATACCTTTCAAACAAATGTAGTTTAAGCCGTGGCGGACGTGGGTGCAGCGTCCATACATTTTTGCCCAATGTCCTTTATAACAAATTGTAAAGATTTTTTTAAAACAATCGTATTATAATCGTCTGAATCTCTTTGTGCACTACCGGACATTTTTAGTGGTGGTTGAAAAAGCACAGTGAAGGAAGATATAAAATAAGAAAAGATTGCAGAATAGTGATGTCGATATCAATTACTTATAGACGTTTAAGTTTACTTAATGACGGTCTTTGTTTTAACCATCAAGTGAAACAGTTTGGTAAAGCATTATTTTCACATCAAAAGGTTGGATAACTGGTAAACCTTGAGAAAAGTTTATGTAGGTATTTGATCGTCACTAATACAAGATTAGCCACCAATTAGTGTTCTAGGCTCAAACTTATGAAAGTAAATTTTGATGTTTCTGATCAAAGAAACCTTACTTTGGAATTGAAAAGAGTGAAACGTTAAATAATAAAACAGAGCCATAATAAATGCCAATAGTCTTAATTATTGTGCGTACATTTTTAAATATCATTATTATATTAGTTACTTATAAATAACATAACAACATCAAAATCTAGATTGTAACAATTAATATTGACGTTGTGTTGAAGAGATGGCATTTGATTGAGGTGTATGTATATTTTTTGTAAATTTGAGTAGATAATATTATTTCATTATATTGAATTCGAAGTGCCAAAGCTGTGCCAGAATTATTATCAATAAATATTTGAAGATTTAAATCTCATGTCGATAATAGCTTATTATGAATTAATAAAACTGCCAACTTCATTTACCTTACCTTTAACAAATTCCAAGCGATTTTGGAAATAAACCGCATGAAATGCTTATATATTTTTTATTATACTATTGTAACGAATGTATTAATACTACGAAAACGTATTCATTATCTATTATTACAATTAAATAAATTATATGTGAACTTAACAGCATTAATCCTCGTTAGAAAACAATTTCATTTGAAAAAAAACACAGAAATATGTTTTAGATAATATACTGGTGTGGATTCTGGCATGATTCTCTAAACCTAAACCTTAATTTGACAACAGTACATCCTTGTCATTCTCTATACAGAATGAGAAAGAGGCACTGATGTTAAATTTAGTTTTAAGTATAGTAGTAAGTATAGTATAGGAAAACAGATTTTACCCCGACTTTAAAATGTTATCAATACAAACAATATAAGCAAATTCTTATATTTTTATTAATTACTAATTTATAATTATTATTAATCAAAACAGGCCACATAAAAAAACAAATTGCAGAACAGTATTACAATTTTACCTTGTTTCATAGTTTAACTATGAATTAATAATAATAATCATTGTGAAGGTTCGAATTGTCTTGCATTTATAAGTTTATGTTAAGTTAAGTTTTTTTATGTTAAGTTTCACTTAAAAGTGAAACCACTCTCGCATCTGTAGGTGGTGGCAAGGGGTATTATCATTTTGCAAACTCTGTCAGCTATAACAGGATATTTGGCACATGATTTTATCCAAAATGTGCTGAGATCATAAATTTTGAAATTCTACTATGAAAGTAACTACTCTCGCGCAGTCCAAGAAATTCCAATTTGGCCGCTACATCTTCGTCTGTAATAAAAATAGAAGGAGCGCATGCAACTTGCGTTACTGCGCGGTGTACTGTATTTTCTTATTATTTAGATTTGACCAAATAATTAGGTTCTTTGTTACCCCCGATGTATAGCTGATTTACCTACAGGTTCGGAACCCAGGATCTAGATAGGAAGTACTCAAATAAATATTTTTCAATACAAATTAATTTGTAAATTATTTTAAACCACCAGTATTAGTAGAAAGTTCGAAAATACCAACGTCGACAGAGTAAATTTATCATTAAAAATCTACTATTGTAATCAATTTGTATTCACTGATATGGTCTCGATTGTAATATAATTTCGTCAGATCACTTTTTATGTTAAGTGCCAAAAAGTTTTTTTGTAAATTATATATATAGGTATGCATTAAGATCAAAACGTACATTGCCGTGTTACCGGAAAACTTTTTGAATATTTCGTGAAAGTATTCCATTAAATTAAGAATTGTTAAATGTTTAAGTTGAATCTGGGATAGTAATAAAAAAGTAACAAATACATTGTACTTAATTTATTGTAAATATTATAGTCACTAGGTACCAAAATATGTTAAAAACGTCAAATTAAAAAATATATATCTCAAATCTGTAGTCGAATTTGGATGTTCATATTAGAAGAAGATTGCAAGCCAATAGTTTTA